CGCGCCTTCCTAACCATTGTCGTCTCCGCCGTTTGGCTAGCGCTGGTTGGGTGGAGGAACGCGTGGGAACTCGCTAAGCGCAGCCCACTACAAATCCACCATCTTGTTGGAACCCGAGCGAAATTCTACAATGGCATTTCAAACGCTTTCATTTCATCGCGCTATCCAGCTTCAGTTCGTTCGCGCGCGCAATTCCTCTCTAGAGACTACGTTTCCATTAGGACGTGTGACTCACATGCGGCATGTCACTTCGTCTCAGCAATGAATCCTTCGCTGCCCAAGGTGTCTCCAATTGGGTCCCGAACACTTGGTCTTGCGGCTCTCGCTGCCCTACGGACCCACTTCTGGCGCTGACGCCATGGACTTTTGGATCTAGGATGCCCAAAAGACCCACCCAGCGGCTATTGTGGGCGAAAATTCATACCCTCCGCTGTCAACTACAGGTACCACGCGACGGGGGAGCGAAAAGCAATAGTAACAATCCCGAGCTTTTCCATCATGATCTACGAATGGAAGCTTTGAATGAGGACGTCTCGTCGGAATATGTCTCAGCTCAACAGCATTTGGTCCAAATTTTGCTGTACACGTGGGGGATCACCTGTCTGGTCAGGCGTCAGTCCCGGTCTTGTCCAGCTGACGTCACTTGCTCCCCAGATACTCCAGGTGTTTAGTGTCCGTTGAGGCCTGAATGGAGACCCTCATACAGGACTACGGGAGTAGGCCCAGTCATCCCGTGGTGCGTGCGGCAGCCTCGTCAGCCATGGGATGCCTACTGCTGAACACTGGCCTCACTAACTACCTCGTCCAATCCACGTCAACCATCGTGCCGTAAGGGAGGACACATCTTGGGGTCTTTCTTCCGTAATGGGGACCGTAGCCTTTACGCAGCAAAAGCACACCTCATGTATCTGGCTCACTCATTGTCCGAGGCCGATGAAGCGTCGTGCAAAAGTTCAGACGTGACTGAAACGGAAAACTCGGCATCATACAGACTCACAAAGAAGCTTTCCACTTGCTTCTCGAGATCTTCCACACTCCGGCATAGACAAAAATGGGAAGCGGGGTGCTTGGTGTCGCGACTTCTGTCACCAAGCCTGTCACCCAGTTAGCTGACTCGAGCCGTAGAGTCACGTGATTTTGTCACGACTCAGGTGCGGCTCGGCACGAACATGGGGATCACTGATCAGCGACGCCGGCAACCGCAACACACCCTCGGATCTGACCCCAGCTTTCGGTAAACTAACTACATAGACCTACACAGACGACATCTTCTTTTTCCATCTCGCTTCTCACACCTGTTCATCCTGATACTCATCTTCACAAGCAGACTCGTCCTGCCTCGGTACGGCTTTGGGCAGCACCCGCCCAGGTCAGCTAGAAAAAGCGCACTGGTTGGTCTTCCAGTAGCGACAGGCTAGAGCCATACGATGACCGCCACACCTTGGATGAGAAACATTTGCATCGATCCCCTTTTCGCATGTCGACACGCTGTGCAAGACGAAGTATCCACCAAAGAAAATTCCATCACCAGACGACACCCTACACCGGAGTAACAACAGTAGATGCCGATTGCAAGACGCGTGACAACCACACGAAAATACAAACAACAATATGGCTGCTGATACCTTTGGCGTTTGGCGAATCTAAGATACCATGCGAACGGAGAATCCCGTCAAAGATTGTGCTAGTACAAGAAACTTTGAAACAACATCCTACAATATCCGCCATTGAAAGTGTCAAATCGTGGAGACATGAGAGCTACGAACCGGAAGAAGGGCCGGTGAGACACATGATCAGATCACGACCACGAACAGTTCCGCTTCTTGCGCAAAACCCAGATGAGTTCAGACGACGATAACACAGTGGCGAAGCTGAAGGCCTAGTGGTCCAGTTATACGAACGGTTGCATTAAAGTACAGCGGCAGCGTATGTGTAGCTATACAAAGTACAGCCTCATGCACTTACTTTCACCGCTCGACCAGAAGGCATCGTCTTCACATGTACCTAGGCATCGTGGAACGCTTCCGCTCGTAGTACATCAACACCTCGATAATCAGTCGATGAGCCAGCGGAAGATGTCCTGCCAATGTTGGATGGCAATGGCTGTCGGCAAGTTGTCTAACAAAAGGCCTTGGTTTGAGAGTCTGGGCCCACGCCACGTGCTGGTAGCGCACAGCGGACACCCCGCTAAGTGCTTGCCCAGGCCCCAAACCACCAACAGCCTACCCCATTTGTCGCAGCCACCTCCGGATTTCCATCATCACAATTGCTGTTCACGCGGGGTATAGGCTGGGCGTGACTGTCGGAAACGCCTTGACGTGCGCCTGCGCGCTGTACCGGAGTCAAGACCGCCAGACTGCCGGGTCCAGACAGCACTATCGCGGATGCTATGCTGCTTGGAGCTCCTTGGTATGAGTACTGCTAACCGCTGTGGTGAATCGTCTCCGGAGCTATGGGCTTGAGGCTCCGTGCCAGTGTCAATTCGATAGGTTGTAGGCGAGATAGCTTGGAGAGCTTGTCAGTGTCCAATGCAAATTGCTAAGTTTTGGAGAGTCTGGGGTACGGTGGAGCCGACGCCGCAAAGAATCTGGGGAAGGCGAGATCAGTAGTCTGGGGAAGCCAATGTGTATATGAGGTCGAGTATCCTGCAATTGTGGGTTTGGTTCTCTCTCATCCTTCTCCATCACAAGTCAGATCTTCTTTTCTCTTCTCCCTTACGCTTTGTTGATCTTCTCGTCGTTCATCAAGGTCTACATCTTACCCCCTTGACGGGCCTCAGAGGACTCCGAGAGTCTCCAATAGCTATCATGGCATCTTACGCTGAAGAGAAGGGCAACGTCGCCACCCTAGAACGCATCGAGTCCGACACAACCGCCAGCAATGCCGCCATCAGTCGGTTCACACCCGAGGAGCAGAAGAAGATTGTCCGCAAGGTCGATCTTCGTCTCATCCCCACACTCGGCTGCATGTACTGTGTCTCGCTTATGGACCGAACCAACCTAGGTGTCGCCATGGTTGCCGGCATGGGTGTCGATCTCAAGCTCACTGGCGAGAGGTACAGCATCATTGTACTACTCTTCTTCATCACATACGTCGCACTCCAGCCACCAGCTACCGTTGTGCTGAGGAAGCTTGGTCCGAGACTCTTCCTGCCATCTATCGTCATCATCTGGGGAGCAGTCATGATAGGCTTCGGTTTCGTCAAGGAATGGCACACACTCATCCCACTCCGTCTGCTCCTCGGTATCTTCGAGGCTGGATTCTTCCCCGGCTCTGCATACCTCCTCTCATGCTGGTACAAGCGATTCGAACTCCAGAAGCGCAACACCGTCTTCTTCCTCATCGGTATGCTGTCGTCTGCCTTCTCAGGTATCCTCGGCTACCTCTTCTCTCTTCTCAACGGCAAGGGCGTACAAGCGGCATACTGGCTTGGTCCCCACTACGGACCCACCAAGAAGGCGCCCACCACACCCGTCAGCTTCGGACCTGGTCTCTCAGGATGGTAAGTCCTAACTATACGAAGTGCATGTGAGACATATACTGACTTCGTACTTTCACCTCTTTAGGAGGTGGATTTTCATCATGCAAGGAGTCATCACCGTCTTGATCGGCATTGTAGGATGGTACTTCATCGTCGACTTCCCCGAGCTAGCAGCTAAGCCCAGTGCGACCCAAAAGAAGTTCCTCGAGCAAGACGAAGTCGACTTCATCGTCGCCCGCATTGAAGAAGACCGCCACGACGTCATCGCTGAGGAGTTTAACCTCAAGAGCTACCTCGCCGGCGCCATGGACCTCAAAGTTTGGGGCTTCGCTCTCATCTTCATGTTCACCACCACCATCACCTACGCCATCGCCTACTTCCTGCCTATCATCCTAAAGGACGGTATGGGCTTCAGCCCCGCCGCAGCAAACTGCCTCATCGCACCCCCTTACGTCTTCGCCGCCTTCGTCATGGTTGGCTTCGCCTGGGCAGGAGACAAGTACCACATCCGCAGCCCGTGGGTCATCGCCAACGGTGTCCTCGCTCTCATCGGTCTTCCCATGATTGGCTTCAGCACTAACGTCGGTGTCCGATACTTTGGTAAGTCATATCTCAACACTACTTCCTTCTTCTCTTATCACAACACTTGCTAACATCTCATCCTCTAGGTGTCTTCCTCGCTACCGCCGCTGCAAACGCAAACGTCCCCTGCATCCTCACCTGGCAAGCCAACAACATCCGCGGCCAATGGAAGCGCGCTCTCTGCAGCGCTACACTCGTCGGCGCCGGCGGTATCGGTGGTATCATCGGTGGAACTGTCTTCCGTACCCAGGACGCACCTTCCTACGTCCCTGGTATCGTTGCTTGCATGATTGCGTCGGGTATGATCATCATCATCTCGCTGTTGCTCAACTTGAAGTTCTGGATGGCGAACAAGCGTGCGAACAACGGAGGCAAGATCATTGAGGGCCTTGAGGGCTTCAGGTACACTCTGTAGATACCCATGGCGTTTATGTGGGAGGGGATGAGGATATGAGTAATGAATTATTATGTGTTCAAACAATATTTCGAACTATCCTGCAACTCGTGAAATCCGCCAAACTCAACCAGCCTCTCTTCCTTTCGCGGAATCGTAAGGTAGCCTCGACGTCATCCACCAGCCACGGTGATGCCAAAGCGGGATCAACCATCTATGCCGCTCGCCCGTCTTGGCTCTTCCTTCGTCCCTACATATCTCGTGACGAGCAGCATGGCCTAGAAACGTACCTAGATATTCCTTCTCGGAAGACGGAACACGTCCTCTTGGTATACTATAGGTTATGAGCCGGGGTGAGGTAGGGGAATGATAAACGAGGCGGCGCGGGGATGACGCAGGTACGCAGTCAGACCGTGAGTGAAGAATGATGTGTGAGCGCTCTTTGTTCATAGATGACATACAAGACCGACCTTCCCTCTACATCAAGCACAAGATCACATCGCCCGAACATCTACCACCTCTTCAGCAACAACAGCGACCAAGATGCACAACACCATCGCCGCCGGCCTCTTTACTCTCATTGTGCCTTCTTTAGGCCACGATGTCCAATTCTATACCGGCATCCAATGCCGAGGCGAACGTCTTGGTGGAGTAGTCGGCTTGACGCCAGATGATGGTTGTCAGGACGGCAGCCTATACAGTATCAACGCCCAATCAGTCTACATTGCCCAGGGAGATACCAAAGAAGACTTTATAATCGCCTTCTATAAGGGCGACAGCTGTCCTCTCGAGAACGCTGTCGCAAAAGGAAATGACGGTGCGTGCTTGAGCGTCGGCGGGGCCTACCGACAGTTCGGTTCCTACAACGCTCTTCCCATCATCCTGAGCAACAAGCATGAAGACACTACCCAGCCCCAAGTGGATGACGTCCCTTCGCGCTTCCAGCATGGGGCTTTGTTTGAGGATGACGATGGTGTAAGTTGCAAGACGAGAGCTATGATGCTGTTCTCTATTCCGGAATGCGATTGCTAATACTGTATGTGGAAAGGTCCAATGGCGCATGCAACAGATAGCAGAGAATGCATTTAGAGGTGTGCGTGCAGAGGAGTGGTCTTCCACCGCGCGCATTGCCAACACGCAACCTCTGCCCGAGCTTGTCGACATGCACACCGTCAAAGTCGCAGAAGATCCCAATAAAAACTCTGCCGAAAAAGAGTGAGCGCTGTCGCATCAAAGCGAAGTTCAAATCCAGCGTACGAGGTCGAACTTGCGCTTATGCCGCTCGACAATCTTCACCTCGTCTGCACCGCCATCGCTTCATGCCTCATTGCTATCGGTGGCCTTCCTGCGCAATGCTGTCCTGGAACAACCCAACATGCGATCGCCCAGATCGAGCTTCGCTCATCAGCGGGAGTTATCAGCCGTGCCGAGCGGACTTTGCTGGGCAACGTGCCGGCTCCGCTCGCTTATTGAGATGCACGTGACTGCCCAGGTGGCCTGAGAGTATGCCTACCTAGGTAGCTAGCTTGTCTCCGGTGTAAGCTTGTAGTGCGAGGCAGACTATTCAATATGGTTCTGTTAATGAGATGAAGTAGTGGGCATACGGACAGGATGACTCAATACATATCTCTGGTTGGCAGGTCCATCTGCCACCTAGGTATACTGCGCGCGTGTTTCAAATTGCCAAGAAGTCAGCCTTGTCCAGGGCTGTGTTCCTGCCTTGACGTAAGAACCAACGCCGATCATCCGGCTTTGCTCAGGTGGTTGATTAAAGTCACTGCCCTTATGTTCTCTTTCCTTGAAGTGAGTGAGTACTCATGTCCTCCTCTTACGAAAACATGTCGACGAATTCATTCGAAAACCACGGTGACCGCGAGGAAAAGGCATCCATCTACGCGCTTTCGCAGCCCATCATCCCAGAACCTGACGCTCTTCCGAACGATATTCGCGAGTTCTTGACTGAAGTTCTATCTGTCTCTCGCGGACTCTCTCGCGAACATGCAAGCGCCATAGCGGACAAGTGGAGGCTTGGCACTGGACGCGAATTGCGCGACTACCCTCCGAAGATGTATCTCGAGATCTTCGGTCCGGAGGAAGGATGGTGTGTGTATAGAGAAGTCAAGACTAGACTCCTCAGCCAAAAAGACCAACGTGCATTACCTCCCCAAAGTCGCACTTTCCTAAGTATGCTCCACAAATGTCGGCATAGTTGCAACCATGCGCTGACCAATGTTTTAGTTGGCGTGGGTATCTTTTTCATGGTTACAGCCTACTATTTGATTCCCGCGTTCTGGTCGTCACCACGTGCGCTACCTCTGCGGGCCATGGCTTTTGTGGCATTCTCTTTGTTTGGTGGTGGCGGCTTGATCTGTTGGGTGGCAGTTGTGTCGTCACCACCCACTGTTGATGAGCAGGTCGAGCAACACCTTATGAAGGCGTTCGTGGGAGAAAATCCAACTTCCAAGAAGTAGCAGAGCTTGGAGTAGTTATGAGTTGATAGAGAGAGTAGCTTCGAGAAGGACGAGCTCTGCATGAATGCGATCATGGGACATAGGGGCGACCGGGCTGTCTCGGTTAATACGCGGCTTCCCTTCAAACCTTCAACTTTCTTTTCCTCGGCGTGAGACAACACTATGTCTGGCCCCGCGGAGCAACATAATTCGCATGACGCCCCTGGACTAACGACCCTTAGGAGATTTTCGTCGCAGCCTCGAGTTCTGGACAATGGACGGCTGAGCGGCGTGTTGCGTCGCGCGGAACCGTGCCTGCCGGCACTCGCAACGTCATGCTTACCAGCCCTATGAACGGACCGGACCACCAACAGAGGCCATCAGAACCCGAGAGCTCGAACACCAGAAGGCGCCTGCACTTATTCATCCGTAAAGCGTATCCGAAGTCATTCGGGCCTTTATCATCCATCTCAGCCGCAGCCTACCAGGTGAGCGTTTGTGGATGTTATCGCGACAGCAATCTGTCCGTCGCAGCTTCCCGACAGTCCTCGCGCCGCGGAAACTACCAAAGTCATTGGAGGAACAACTCTTTTCTCTCGCCCGAAGTACTACGAATAGCGAGCTGAATCACAACGCCTCCCAAACGCGTTATCGCAGCTACCGAGCGCCAGGAACTGAGTTACCAAGCTTTCCGGCGCGCCACTTTTGCCCGCTAGTCGTAGAGCTTGTCCCACCTGGTACCAGATCCGATGCCCAGAACACTGGATAGGCCTTCCAACCCCAAAATGTCGACTCTGGACGCTTATCTGGGAAACGCTGGGTTTTCGTGATGCCCTCGTGGTCTAACACAGGTGCATGGGTCCTTCTCCAGAAAGATTTTCATATCCACATCACCCTGGTCCTTAGAGCTCCAGACTGCCGATGCATGGGTGGATCGTATGTACAACACACCACTTAGTCGATCAACGCCGGGATGAGACCTGCCCTCTCAGTACCAACTCTGTTTACTCATGAGTACCGCCGCGGCTCGATGTTGAAGTCCCGCCTTCAAAATGTTCGGGTTAGGGGCTCTTTCGCGCGGTGAAATTGGCCGGACCGACACTGAGCGTAAGCCACGTCGCGCTAACACGCGTGGAAATTCGTCAAGCAACGGGCGACGCTTCTAAGATTATTCTTACTCAGATGAACGCCATGCAGGAACGCTCTTAGCTTCCCATAGTTCTTTGCGATCTTACTTTCGTTCCTGCATCCTACGCCCGTTAGTAGGTACCGCTTGGCTCTAAAGCCGGCACCATCAATATTGATGAACAAGACTATCTTCCCAACAGCGGCATCTCATCAGCGATGGGGTTTCGATCAAAACGAATTGCCACGGTGAGGATCTCACACGGCAGCAGCTATCGATTGTGGCTTTTGTCCCCTGGCCTCTCTGAAGAGACCCACCGGCTATCTACCCTGTCAGATGTACCTACGAGTCGGGCGACAAGCGTGAAAGCGGATTTAACGAGATGTCAGATTGTAATCGGGATCCAGACCACGTTGTCGTAGTATACCCAATTCGGTGTCAGCCCCGTGAACCCTTGGTGAGGATCTTCGAGCTTAAGTACCATCTAATATCATGTACTTCCGATCTCCATCGCTCGCTTCTCATCCTCGTCAATTGATCGTCATTCGCTATGCGCTCGTTCGCTGTTGCCGCCCTGCTCGGGCTTGCGGCTGCTCAGAGTAGTGCCTCTAACACCACTCTGAGTTCTACGAGTCGCTCTTCCACATCGCCGACGCCTCTTACAACTACTTCGGCTACCTTGACAGGCCCCAGATCGGTCATCACTGTCGCCACCGATGGATCTGGGGATTACACCGCCATCAATGTAGCCGTAAAGGCTGCACAAGATAGCGGCATCGCCACTGTCTCCGTTCTTCCTGGAACCTACTCCGAGGCCGTCACTGTTATCGGACAGGCTACTGTTACGATCGCCGGACCCTCTCCAACGGCTGCAGATGACTGGTCTGAGAACAAAGTCACAATCGCTGCTACTACCGTTCCATTCAGCATTGGTACGGACAAAATCAAGGGTGTGACTGTCCGCAACATAAACATCGTCAATTCAGCTGCTGTTGGACCAGGAGCCAATGCGGCGACCATTTCACTCAGAGGAAGCAATGTTGCTTTCTATGGGTGCTCCATCATCTCGCCTGGTGGCACTGTAGTCTCTGCTACCTATGGAACGGCCTTCTTCGCCAATTCGTACATCGAGGGCTCGAACTATCTCTTCTACAACTACCCGACTATCTATCTGTACAAGTCCACCATCGTTCCTCTCAGCTCGGGTGCTCTTATCGTGTACAGCAAGGGTGGAACCCCTAACGGAGGTACCTTCACAAACTCCACGGTCGTATTCGATTCGAGCTCGATACAGCAGAAGACTGGATATACCAACAACAATGTATTCTTGGCGGCGCCAGCTGCCAACGGTTCAGTGGCAATCTACCGGAACACAGCAATGGGAAATTTGATTGCCCCTGCCGGATTTCACCCTTCAGCGGCTACCATTCCGTCTTTCTACGGCGAGTTCGCCACCACCGGTGCCGGTTCTTATAGCAAGAACGCCGCAGCTCGCCCTAGCTACGATGTTCTTCTCTCGGCCGATCAGGTGTCTCAATTCACCATCGACAAGGTCTTCGGAAATGCGTTCTACCCTTACGCTAGCTCTTCGCTTGCATGGGTTGATCAGAACGTTGTTGCGTCATTGAAAGCATCGAATGATGCTCAGATTGCATCTGCCTCATCTGTTGCGTCGACTGTTTCTTCTACAGTGTCTTCATCAGCTTCATCGATGGCTTCGCTGGCCAGTACCGCCAGTTCCATCTCGAACGCTACCATCACTGCTTCCACAATGACCAGTGCTACCCCGGTAGCCTCTTGCACAATCGCAGCCGCGTCCCCGACCCTGATAGTCTCCAAGACACCCGGACCATGCGAGTTCTCGAACGTCACGTCAGCTATCAGCGCCCTCCCCAACGACGGCAACCCATATACGATCAAGATTGGCGCGGGTACATACGTTGAGCAGCTTTCCATCACTCGCAAGGGGAAGGTCACCTTGAGGGGCTTCACCGACTTCACGAATGACTACACACAGAACAAGGTCCGCCTTGAATTCTCCCGGGGCGAGCTTACCAGTGCTGGCAAGAACGAGCAAACACCCGTCGTATACTCCAAGCCTAGCGGCGATTCGGGAATGGCTTTGTACAACATCGACTTTGTCAACACCTACCCTCAGACTTCCAACACCGCAGCACTGGCTGCCGACTTCTATGGAGCGAACATTGCTGCCTATGGTTGCTCCTTTGTTGGTTTCCAGGATACCCTACTTGCTAATAAGGGTACGCAAGTATTCAGCAACTGCTATGTTGAGGGTAGTATTGACTTCATTTGGGGTTTCTCCACCGCATACTTCCACCAGTGCATGATCGTTAGCAACACGCCTGGCGCTTTCATCTCAGCACAATCCAGGGCCACCGCAGACGCCCCCGGTGGATATGTATTCGATTCTTCAGTCATCACATACAGCGCAACCTACGGCAACACCTTCGGTACGACCTACCTCGGCAGGCCTTACAGCCAATTCTCTATCGCTATCTACATGAACTCGTATATCGACAAGCATATCTCTAGCGCTGGCTGGACCGTTTGGCAGACAAACAACCCTCAGACATCAGGAGTCACATTCGGCGAATACAACAACATGGGCCCTGGCAGCTGGAC